TCTTTGATATGTTTTGAGAAGAAGAGAATAAATATTTTCTTTATCAGATAAAGTTGATAGTTTCAGTGATAGATAAATAAACAGTTGGAAATTCCCATCATACATAGTATTAGCAACATAGGTCTTTCTATGACCACACCCATAGTATTAGCAACATAGGTCTTTTTACATAGGTCTTTTTATATACCCCCAACGGTATGTTTTCCCTACACTACAATATGAATTACAACATTATCCCATTTTATTTTATAGTTTTAGAAATTTTCAAGGGGCTATTTATAACCTTGAAAATTTCAGAGGGATATTTGTAATATTTGACACTTTCAGGGTTTGACTATATAGTTCTCATTGGTTGTTTTGTAAAATTTTCATGGGGTTATTTGTACTTCAAAAATTTTAGGGCGCTATTTGTAAATTTTTTAGGGTTTTTATTATTACTAAAACTTTCACAAGCTATTTGCAAAAAAAATTGGAAGGTTATTTGTAAAATTTTTAGCGAGCTATTTGTAATTTTCAAAAATTTTAGCAAGTTGTTCATTACTATAAACAGTTATGGGGTTAGTTGTAATATTTTCAAATGACTGTTTGTAAACTTTTTAAGGGGATATTCACAAATTTTTAAACTTCAAAATAACTCATTGTAAAATTTTCAAGAGCCTATTTGTAATTTTAGAAATTTTAAGTGAGGTATTTGTAATTTTCAAAATCTTCAGCAAGCTGTTTATTATTTTTAAACATTCATGGGGCTGGTTGTAATATTTTCAAATGATTGTTTGTAAACTCTTTAAGGGGATATTCATAATTTTTAAAATTTTAAAATGACTAGCTGTAAAAATTTTCAAGGGCCTATTAGTAATTTTAGAAACTTTAAATGGGTTGTTTGGAACTTTTGGATTTCCATATGGTTTTTTATAATTTTAAATTATATCAAATTTTTACAATGTTATTTGTAATTTTCTTATTTCTGAACAGTTATTTGTAATTCTCAAATATTCAAGGCATTGTTTGTCATTATTGGACTTTAAATGAACGGTTTATGATTTTTGGATTTTTAGGGTGCTATCTGTAATTTTTAGATTTTTTTTCAAGGTTTTATTTATAATTTTGTATCTTAAAGACTTCTACTAATTTCTGTATGGTGTCGTTTTGTAGTTTCTATTTTTAGTTATTTGTACTTTTTCATGGTGTTTATTTATAATTCTCTAATATAAAGTAAACCTGTTTTTTTATGTAAAAGAGGAAGTTGATTATTATAATGTTATAATTATCAATAATTTTAATTTGATGAGAATCCTTAGATAAAGATAAGATTAGGTATCCACATATAAAGTAGAGGTTTGATTATTTGCATTTTTTAACTATGGATACTTCTAATTGATGGGAATTATATAATAAAGATGAGATTAAGTATCCACATGTCATGTTCTAATATGATAGAAAAGTGGTAACTTTTTTGACACGTGACATGTTTTTATGCCTTTAGGAAGAGTCAATCAGTTTCTCTTTATATATAAATGAGGGATTAGTGTGTTAATAGAAAAGGTTAGATTCAAATAGAGAAAGTTATATTTTTAAATCTTGAAATTTGTCATAACCAATAATTTGGATGAGATAATAAACTTAATTTAACTAAAGATAATATTTCTAAATTTTAACTTTAATATCATCATTAGGATAGGATAACAATGTAATATCCAAGAAGGTCAAGGATACTATTGACCATGAAAAGTTTTTCTCAAGACTCACACTTTTATAAAGAGTATAGTATGATATGATATGATATGATTATTGTCTCATGACTGGGACAATTCACAACACAAATACTGTCATTTTCCATTCATCAAGATAATTCCCCATTAAGGCAAAATTTGAAAGGTAGTTGAGAGGCTATCCTTTGTCTGTCCATTTGTCATCACTCATCATCCTTCCGTATATCTTTGTCACAATTAAGGCCCGACCCTGAAAACCATTTGGATTTTGGAGTTCCTTTTAGTTTAGGATGGTTGGTTGTCTGCAAAAGTGTGAACCCAGGTTTTTCTCAGTTCCAAAAGTTGGGAAGCCACACAGAAGTGTCTTTGGATAAGGAATTGGCTCTCTGCTTCGAGGCTTACAACAACGTTTTACATGGCGACTAAGCTTTTTGGTCGAAAACTATTTCATGATAAGAAACTATTCTTCATAAGGCAAATATATTGATAAAAAGGACAATGGCGATAATGTCAAGTTACTGACCTTGTAAACGGCCTCTCTGCTAAGAACAATTTGCGACTTTTGACTAGTTGTGTCATCCTCACCACTAGATTCTTCACTATCATTCTCATCTTCAACCCGTTCGTAACCCAGGATGAAGGAGAGAGCAGAAGTTAAAATCCTGAAATTAGAAGTTATATTGGCTTAGCAAGTGTAACAAACAATAATTGAATGGTAAAAGAATTAGCAGCATATACTTTGAAGATGGGTGAAGACATGCAGTACAAATGGCATTGGCTGTCTGCTCATCAAACCACACCCTCCTTCGATGAAGATCACAAAGAATAACAAGTGCCCTCTTGGCCCTTGCCTCGTCCTGCCCCTGAACAGGACAACTTGTGTATGTCAGTTTAAAAGCATCACAGTTAAACTTAAGATTCGAAAAGCCATTGTCTTAAATGATCTAGTATTGGTAATCATCCCCTATTAGAATAAACATCGAAAAGACACAAAAATAAATAAATAAATAAATAAATAATCTACCAAAAAGAAGCCATCACATACCTCGAGCATGGTTCTTAATATGGTTTGCAATCTGCGGTTATGAACTTCATTTTTATGCTTTTGATTCATGCGTCGTATTGTGTGCACAACATGCGAAAATGCCAATTTTCTTAATGTCCGATCACCCACTACTTGAAGCTCCATAAACAATTCAAGAGTTTCTTCAATACCAACAACCTACAAACAATAAAAGATAAAACTTCACAAAGTCTTCAAGTATAAACTTACACAAAGGTAGCATTAAACTGATAACGAGAGAATGTAGACAAATCCCAATTTGTTCCCACAACCCTAAAAACCAAAACTTTGATACCTTTCTATTAATAAGAAGAATCAAAGCCTGAGCCAAGTGACACCTCAACGAAGAGGGCAACGCCCTCCCATCCTCCCTCAGCAACTCCGCGACCTGGTTCGGGAACTCCCTCAACTCCTCCGCGTAAAACGGCGACACGTGCGCGAGAAACATCGCCAGATCCGCGAGCTCCTTGGCGAGTGCGGGATCCGACGAGGGATTGAGGGCGGAGCTCCGGTGAAAGAGGTCGAGCGACGACTCGAAGCGGCGAATGATCAGTTGGAGCTCCGATAAGTATCCGCTTGGGTCCGATTTCATCTTTGATTGGAGAGAAGGGAGGCTGAGCTTTTCGGAGGATTTGCCGGCGGCCGAGAGAGACTCCGGCGAGAAGATCGCCGGCATGGCTAGGGTTTTGGTGCAGAGAGGGATGGGATGGTTAAAACCCCACGAACTGATGACTGGCGGCTGCTTAAAGGAATGCGGGTTTGGGTTTGGTCGGGTATTTTAATGATGTGATCCGACCCGACTTCTAATGGATCTGCTTTTAAGGTCCAGCAGCTCGATAAACCCGATCCAACCCAAGCATTGCGTGAGCGAACACACGACAAAATTATGATCCAAGATCCAATCATCATCATAAATATTAATCACATATTGAATGATTGAGATGTCTATTGAATATATACAGTAGTAAGGGTAACTCATGTACAAAGAGCATAACATTAATTATATTGTAATTATAAATGAATAATTGATCAAACGAAAAGGGCAAAACAAGATTGTTATCTAGAATTTGTATATTTAAAGACATAAAATGTTTTAACACGAATGGACATTCCAAGTTTAAATCCCTAACACTGTTTCCTTAAAAAAGAAAATCTGATAACGCATTTTTGGTGTTTTTGTAATACATAAGAAAATCAACCTTAATTTATGTCCTACATCGGGGTGAGTGAGATTCTTATCAGGACATCTCCGTTATAGGTGCAATTTGAACCATGCAGAAGTTGCTGGAAAATTACTTTCATATGGCCAATCACTTAAAATAAATATCCACATTGGCTCTCTGAATGCATTTTAGTTGGTTCAGAATATGCGAGCAATATTATTCATTCTTGATATACAGATAAATGTGGCGTTTATAAAGGTGAATTGAACGGAGAATATAACGTGTATATAAGCGGGCTCATGCGCATTATTGATATCCAAATTTATATATAAGGGTTAAGGGCCAATCCTAACTTGAAGCCGTGTTTCCGGGACGGTTTACGGGACCCCGATTTATATATATATAAAAATATTCTTCTCTAATTCAAATAACACCTAAAATAATAGTAATGTGCTTGTGTGTGCTTTGTGCTAGACCTTATTTGATATCTACAATTTGCATTTTACTTTTATCACCTTTAATTGAGTTTTCATCTTTTCTTTATACCTGTTACATACACTTACACGCGCACAATTCCTTCATTTTACATGCTTGTTGGGAGTTTTCTGACTCCCCTGGGGTTTGCACACCTCAGACTCGGGAATTGTTCTTTCTTCGCAGGATAAAAATATATTTCGAGGGGCAAGTTCAACGGCAATGATCACCATTTATTCTATCAATTCTCTAATTTATTTTTCTTAGGTAGTTATTTGATTGAGACTTTTTCTGTAATCATTTGTGGTTCTCCAGACTATGATGTATTTTTCCTCTTTCCTACTTTGGATAGTTGTGGACCTAGGGGTTGTTTGGTTCATTTCCCATATATTGGGAAATACAATTAGAGAAACTCAAGTTTTTGGTTTTCCAAACTTTTGCAATAAACATATTGTTTAGGCTTGGTTCACACATAAAACATGGTGGAAACTATCGTACACCATTTTCTTGTGTTTGGTTGGTATCAAAAAAAAGGGAAACTTTTGTTGATTAGACATTTTCCACTTTTTGTGTTTGGTTGGTATTAAAGTT